TGAAAAAATGCTCATCATCACTAATCCTCATGGAGATGCAGATCAAAGATGAATCATCTCACCCCAGTTAGGATAGCTGTTACCAAAAAGGCAAAATAACAACAAACGCTGGCAAGAACTCTGAGAGAAGAGAACACTTAAACACTGTTGGTAGGGGAAGCGGGGGCGGGGGGGGGAGGATAGGGAGGGGAAAGAGGGGTGGGGGTGGGAGGGGGGAAGGGGAGGAAGGAGGTAGGGAGGAGGATGGGGGGGAGGAGGAGGGAATTAGCCTTACTGTCCCAGGAACTCAAGACAGGTGCTTTAGGCTGAGCGCAGTGGCTCATGCCTGTAATCCCAGCACTCTGGGAGGCAGAGGTGGGCAGATCACCTGAGGGGAGTTTAAGATCAGCCTGGCCTACATAGTGAAATCCTGTCTGTACCAAAACTACAAAAATGAGCCGAGCATGGTGGCACGTGCCTGTATTCACAGCTACTCAGTAGCTGAGACATGAGAATTGCTTGAACCTGGGAAGCAGAGGTTGCAGTGAGCCAAGATCACGCCACTGCACTCCAGCCTGAGTGACAGAGGGAGACTCTGTCTCAAAAAATAATAATAATAAATAAATAAAAATTTTAAAATGGTTGCTTTAAATGCTAGGTGAAATCATATGTATGTCCAAAAATGTCCAAATATTCAACCTCCTGTGTGGAGCTGTCCCATCACAGCATCCCTCTGTTCTAAACCCCTTGATGTTGCCCAACCCCACTGTTGTATTTGCAAATCTCTCACTCTAATATGCCTCATATACACCCAACATTTTAGCCAATTTGAATTGCACGCTATTCTCCAAACATATCCCAAACTTCCTGGTCTCTGCTTTTCTTTATGCTACAGCCCCTAAAATTTCTTCTCTCTTTCCCATATCCCTCCTCTGTGTGGCGACAAAGCTGGAAATTGATCAGTGCACTCATGTGAGCTTGTTTATTTTGTGCCTTACTGATCCAGTATCCTCCCAAGCCCCTACTAAGTGGTGAAATTGGAAGGAAAGTCTGCCAAGATTTAGCTGAATTCAGTACAGCAATCTAAATTGTCCTTTAGAACACACTTACCCTTTACGTGGAAAGCTGAACGCCCAACCCCTCAGAATGGCTATTTTCCTGCCTGCCTCTCCAGCTCTTTTCTCTTGTGATATCTGAGCATGCCGTGGGGAGGCAGGAAGAGGAAGCTTGCTGGATGTCCTAGTGGAAGTAAAGACTGTGGAATTCTTGAATGTCTCAGCCTCAAGGGCGGGGAGAGAAAATGAAAAGGTGAAATCTACCTTTCCCATACCCCACTCTTTCTTCTTTTCCTTTGCATTCCTTCTGTAAGAATCTTTATCTAGCCGGGTGTGGTGGCTCATGTCTGCAACCCCAGCACTTCGGGAGGCCAAGGCAGGCAGATCACTTGAGGTCAGGAGTTTGAGATGAGCCTGGCCAACAGAGTGAAACCCCGTCTCTACTAAAAATACAAAAATTAGCTTGGCGTGGTGGCAGGTGCCTGTAATCCTAGCTACTCAAGAGGCTGGGACAGGAGAATCACTTGAACCTGGGAGGCAGAGGTTGCAGTGAGCCAAGATCGCACCACTGCACTCCAGCCTGGGCAACAGCGCAAGACTTTACCTCAAAAAAAAAAGAATCCTAATCTACCTCTTGGTAGATCGGTACCTAACACCAAAAAAAGAAGACCAGGTGCTGACAGTCCAAAAAAAAACAAGAACACATGCCGAAGCCCCCTCCTAACTTCTGCATTACACTTTTACGCTTGGACCTTGTATGTTGCATTGTTTCAGTGTTTCTTGTATCTCTTAGGGAAAGACTTAAGATGAAAAGCAAAGGAAAGGAGTGAGCCAGGCCACTCCAGCAGGGACTGAAGCAGGTGCGATGGGAAGCGGAGAAGGGTGGAAAGTTGGTTGACTACAAGTTTCAAGAGAAGAAAGGGAAATAACAGATGAAGCAGAAAGCTTTGTCAGAAAGAGCACATCAGGCCAGGTGCGGTCACTCACGCCTGTAATCCCAGCACTTTGGGAGGCCAAGGCAGGTGGATCACCTGAGGTCAGGAGTTCAAGACCAGCCTGGCCAACATGGTGAAACCCTGTCTCTACTAAAAATACAAAAACTTAGCCAAGTATGGTGGTGAGCACCTATAATCCCAGCTGCTTGGGAGGCTGAGGTAAGAGACTCACTTGAACTTGGGAAATGGAGGTTACAGTGAGCCGAGATTGCATCATTACACTCCAGCCTGGGTGACAGAGCAAGACTCCATCAGAAAAGAAAAGAAAAGAAAAGAAAAGAAAAGAAAAGAAAAGAGAAAAGAAAAGAAAAGAAAGAAGGAAGGAAGGAAGGAAGGAAGGAAGGAAGGAAGGAAGGAAGGAAGGAAGGAAGGAAGGAAAGAAGGAAAAGAAAAGAGAAAAGAAAAGAAAAGAAAGGAAAGAGTACATCCTCCAGGATACCTCTGATTCTCTAGCTTTGTGCTGGGTGCCTCTCTTACTGTGTTCCCACTGTGGTAAACCAACAGAGGCTGGACCCCAGGCAGTGATGTCTAAAGTCATGGAAAATTTTCCTAGGTTCTGCAAGTAGGATGGACACAGAAGGGTAATGGCCTTAAAGAGACCAATTCATAGAAACTCAGGCCACTCAGCAGACAGTGGCTGATGACCACTGACCAGAAGGGCCTCCCCAATGGTTTAGCACTGGGTGACCTTTATGCCTTTGTATGTTCTTGGAGACAGGAGCTCCGCGAATGACTGAGGTTTAATTTCCTGCCAGCAAATTGATTATTTTCATTCCAATGAAATGTTTTAAAGGAAATTAAGATATGTTTTATACACCTGGGTTTGTACACTAAGGTCCGTTCCCACTATAATAGCCTAGCTTATCCCAGGTGAATTTGAACCTGGAGGTGCAGTCTTTTAGTGTAAGACCTTATGCTCTCCACCCAGTGTCCAGTCAGCTTGGACATGTGCCTAGGCTACTGACTGTCCCATTATTAATAGGCAATATGAACCTAACACCATGATAATAAACAGCAGAACATTCCCTGGCTCTTTCTTTTTTTCTTTTTTAAGACAGAGTCTTACTCTGTCGCCAGGCTGCAGTGCAGTGGCACGATCTCGGTTCACTGCAACTTCCTCCTCCCAGGTTCAAGAGATTCTCATGCTCCTGTAGTCCCAGCCTCCCGAGTAGCTGGGACTACAGGTGTGCACCATGCCCATTATGTTTTGTATTTGTAGTAGAGACAGGGTTTCATCATGTTGGCCAGGATGGTCTCCATCTCTTGACCTTGTTAATCACCTGCCTCGGCCTCCCAAAGTGCTGGGAGAACAGACATGAGCCACCACACCCAGCTGACTCTTCCTTTTTAAGACTCAGAATTCATGCTATGAGATATGTATCATATATTTATACATATCATGTTGTGTGATGCTATTTTATATCTATATAGAATATAGACATGTTGTGTGAGACTACTTAATCTATAAAATAGTATCACGTAGTATAATATCTTGCCCATTTCCAACAGTGCTGAAGACTTCATTGAGCTTATTTGTGAGCCATCGGCATCTTCACCAGGTGATTCCTCTCTTTTCTCCCTCAGCCCAGTCATCAAGTTCCACACACTCGAAGCCTGAGACAGGTTGCTGAACATATATATGTTAGACAAATGTGTTCAAGACTAAAGCCCTCAGAGATTCCTGAGACTCTAAGCATCCTAAGGCCCTTCACATTCTGACTTCAAACTACCTTTCCAGTTTGTCTTTCAGCACCCATTTGCTGTGTGAAGACACACACACACACACACACACACACACACAAAACCATACACAAACATGAACACTACAATTTGCCCATATCCAGCAGCTCCCCTTTCTTGAATGTGCCACAGTCACTTACACCTTTGTGTCCCTACACACACACAGTATTCTTTCTCGGGAATGCCCTCCTGTTTCTGTCCCCCTCCACCTGATTAACACCAACTTAAACGTCAAAATGCATCTCAGATGTCCCTCCCTCTCCTGAATTAGGACAAGTTAGAACTCCCTAGTCTCTGGGCCTAGAGTGTTTAGAGAACACTTTGCTCCATAGTGCATACATTTGATAGCAACTGGTTTATCTGCCCAGTCACTAACCCATCAGCTCCAACAGCATCTACTACGTGTGTGCATCTTTGGATTCCTAGTTTATTGCGGTATCAAGCACAGAGTAAGCACTTTATATATATTTCCTATATAAATGAGTGACTGAGTAAAAGAGGTGATCAGGAAGTCAAAGGAAGTACATTGCCCACTATAGAAATCAAAAGAGGCCGGGCGCGGTGGCTCATGCCTGTAATCCCAGCACTTTGGGAGGCCGAGGCGGGTGGATCACGAGGTCAAGAGATCGAGACTATCCTGGTCAACATAGTGAAACCCCGTCTCTACTAAAAATACAAAAAATTAGCTGGGCACAGTGGCGCGTGCCTGTAATCCCAGCTACTCAGGAGGCTGAGGCAGGAGAATTGCCTGAACCCAGGAGGCGGAGGTTGCGGTGAGCCGAGATCGCGCCATTGCACTCCAGCCTGGGTAACAAGAGCGAAACTCCATCTCGAAAAAAAAAAAAAAGAAATCAAATGAATTTGGGTGAGATGCTCACATGCAATCCTATTTTAATAGTTTCCCAAATAAATTTTTTCCTTACTTTTTTCTTTTTTAATTAAAAAAATTAAATTTAATATAGAGATGAGCTTTTGCCATGTGGCCCCAGGCTGGCTCGAACTCCTGAGCTCAAGCAATTCACTCATGTCAGCCTCCTAAAGTGTTGGGATACAGGCGTGAGTTACCACACCCAGGGAGCTGCGGTGGCTCCTGCCAGTTGTCCTGGTGCTTGAGGAGGTGAGACTATGAGTTCAAGGCCAACCTGAGCAACATAATAAGCTCTCATTGAGTTACTACACCCAGCCCAAACACATTTTTAAGTGGATATTTTTCATATACTAATGCCATTCCTGGACCTTATCCTAAAGAAAATATTTTAGATGCATTTAGTTATAGCATAGACTTATTTTGTATAGCATTCTCTTTTTTGATGCCCGGGCTGCAGTGCAGTGGCATGATCTCAGCTCACTGCAATCTCTGCCTCCCAGGTTCAACCTCTGCCTCAGCCTCCAGAGTAGCTGGGATCACAGGCACCCACCACCACACCTAGCTAATTTTTGTATTTTTCAGTAGAAACAGAGTTTCACTGTGTTAGCCAGGCTGGTCTCAAACTCCTGACCTCGGGATCTGCCCCTCTCGACCTCCCAAAGTGCTGGGATTACAGGCAAGAGCCACTGCGCCAGGCCCATATATCGCTCTTGAACATAGAAAAAAAACAAGAAAATACTTACCAAATTAATCAAAGTACTTTTTAAACTTCTTGTTCAGACTGTTCAGAATACCTCAGAGTTGTTGATACCTGCATTTTCCCATATACTATTTATAGCCTTGTGTACCATCAATGGCATTAGCCATTAAATGTTTCTAAAATGACGGAATAACTTATAATTTTTGCCTGCATTTTCACTTCTATGATCATTAAAATGCTCACTGCACTTGCATTTGGAGAGTATTGTGACCTACACATTCTGTTCACTTGAACAGTACATGCTGTTCACTTGAAAGGCTGGTGATTCTTGACCATTGCAAGTAAGCAGTTTTCTGCTTTTGCGGCACCAATAATAATTAGCTTTTTACCTTTCACCATTAAGGAGCCTCATATACTTAATTTATCACAGTCTTTTTGCAAAGAAACAATTTCACAGATCTCTTTCACCATGCAGTGGAGAATCCAGTCCAAAGGAATAATATTCATCTTCTCCGATACAGATTGAGTCAGGGTTCTCCAGACAAACAGGAGCAATAGGATATATACACAGATAGATGAAAGAGGGTTTATTAGGGGAATTGATTCACATGATAATGGTGGCTGGGAAGTCCCATGACAGGCTATTTGCAAGTTAGAGACCCCAGAACACTGGTAGCATGGGTCCATCGAAGTCCAAAGGCCTCAGAATCAGGGAAGCCAATGGCGTAACTCTTGGTCCAATGCTGAAAGTCTCAATACCCATGGGTCCCCTGGTATAAGTCCTTGAGTCCAAAAACCAGTGAATTTGGACTTCTGATGCCCAAGGTAGCACCAGTAAAGCCTGTCCCAGCTCTCAGAGAGAGACCAATTCGTCTTCCGTAATTGTTCTTTCTGGGTTCACAGCAAATTGGATGGTGCCCCCCAGCACTGAAGGCAGATCTTTCCTGACCTGGTCCACTCAGACCACACACTAAGCTCCTCTGGAAACCTTCACAGGCACACCTAAAATCATGCTCTCCCAGGTTTCTAGGTATTTCTTTTCCCAGTCAAGTTCCCACTAAAATCCACCCATTGTCAACCTGGAACTCATATGCATCTCCTTCAACCATACTTAATTTCCAAATAAAGACAATAACAGGGTAATAGTTCCACATAACATAGCACAAGTGTGATCTGCAGGATCTTAGATGCTAGAATTTTTAGATTTGTGAATTTTAGTTTTTAGAGATTTCAACAATTGGGATTAAGGCATTCGGACTGTCTTTCGGGATTATGATCCAAATTCAAACCAGCACATACAGGAATATGGCAGTGTGAAAAATACTTCATTAACTGTGAGCTCATGTGACTCTCATAATATTCCTCTGAGACTTCATCCTTGTTAAGTTCCTGATGTTAGTGATGGAGCCAGGACTGAGCCACTGCGAACTAGATTACAGCTTTCCTCTTTCTCATTGCTTCCAGTCATAGGCATTGTCCAAAGTTCTGGACTCTGGCAGACATTCCTGAGGTGTCTTTGAGATCACTACTCTGACCTTGCTCCAGTTTTTCCTTGCATTTATCCACCTGAGTTTTTTTCTGATACCTCCAATCATGGGTACAACTGAGCTCTTCAGCAGCTCCTACCACTGCCTCCTCTTTCTCCTATTTCTGATCATGGGGCCAGCTCCCTTCCAGTCAGACAAGTCAGAGTCTCTGTCCACTTTCATTCTGAACCTTCCTTAACATTCAGCTCGATCTCCACACCACGTCTTGTATCCATCGCCATTCTCCCGCTCTGGGGCAGGCTCCTAGGGCCAGGTACTTCTTCCATTACGACAATGTCCTAACAAACACCCCTCCAACCCATTCTGCCTGCTTCTGGGACCAGACCCACAAGACATCTGGGGCTCCACATTCACAACCGAACATCAATCCACTCTTTGTCCTAAATCCTCACTGATTTATTTTCCGATGAGTTGTAGTCATGAGCCAAATGCAATCCCCGCCCCCATCCTCTGAAACCTGCTCATACCTGCAGGCCCCTTTCAGACTCTGTGTCTTCATCAGAGGTCAGCAAACTACGACCTGTCATCCAAAGTGGCCTGCTGCCGAGCAAAGGATGGTTTTTGCCTGTTTAAATAGCTGAAAAAATCAAAAGAAGAAAACCATTTTGTGACACATGAGAATTAAGTGAAATTCAAATTTCAGTGTCTATAAGCAGGGTTTTATTGGAACACAATCATGCCCGTCTGTTTACGTACTGCCTATGGCTAGTTTCATGCCACAGTGGCAGAGCTGAGGAGTCACCACAGAGAATACAGAGCCCACGAACCCAAAATAGTGACCATCTGGTTCTTTACAGAAAAAGGTTTGCCAATTTCTAGTCTATACTACGATCTTGCCAATCTTGATGACTATACTTGTTTTTAAAATATTTCTGATACATATTGTAAATGTTTCTGTTTGTCACTTCAAATGTTAATTGCTTAATGTCTATAAGTTTTTACTTTTGTGAGATCAGTTCCATCTGTGTGTGCATTTATGATTTACCCTTCCTTTTATGCTAGAAAGCTCTTGGCTGGACATGGTAGCTCATGTCTATAATCCCAGTACTTTGGGAGGCAGAGGTGGGTGGATCGCCTGAGGTTGGAAGTTTGAGACCAGCCTGACCAACATGGAGAAACCCCATCTCTACTAAAAACACAAAATTGGGCTGGGTGCGGTGGCTCAAGCCTGTAATCCCAGCACTTTGGGAGGCCGAGGCGGGTGGATCACGAGGTCAAGAGATCAAGACTATCCTGGTCAACGTAGTGAAACCCCGTCTCTACTAAAAATACAAAAAATTAGCTGGGCATGGTGGTGTGTGCCTGTAATCCCAGCTACTCAGGAGGCTGAGGCAGGAGAATTGCCTGAACCCAGGGGGCGGAGGTTGCAATGAGCCGAGATCGCGCCATTGCACTCCAGCCTGAGTAACAAGAGCGAAACTCCGTCTCAAAAAAAAAAAAAAAAAAAACACAAAATTAGTTGGGCATGGTGGCACACGCCTATAATCCCAGCTACTTGGGAGGCTGAAGCAGGAGAATTGCTTGAACCCAGGAAACAGAAGTTGCAATGAGCAGAGATCACGCCATTGTGCTCCAGCCTGGCCATCAAGAGCGAAACTCCATCTCAAAAAAAAAAGAAAGAAAGAAAGGTCTTACCTGTGTTGATCACATTAAAATACTCATATTTTCTTCTAATTTTTTTTTTTTTTTTTTAGATATGGGATCTCGCTATGTTGCCAAAGCTGGTCTTGAACTCCTGGGCTCAAGTGATCCTCCTACCTCGACCTCCCAAAGTGCTGGGATTACAGGTGTGAGCCATCACACCCAGCCCTTCTAATTTTTTAGTGATTTGTTTTCAATCTTTTAACTTTTTCCCAAATAAGGGATTTCTGTTGGTGACTGCTATGAATGAAAGAAAGTTAGCTTTTGTTCAAATCATTATCCAATTGTTCTAGCACCATTTGCTGAATATATTTTCCTGATGATAGGGAAAACTGCCACTAAAATACACTGGGTGCCAAGTACCATGGTTCACACCTATAGTCCCAGCTATTCAGGAGGCTGAGGCTGGAGGATCACTTGAGCTCAGGAGTTCAAGGCTGTAGTGAGCTATGATCACACCACTGCCCTCCAGCCTGGACAATAGAGCAAGTGCCTGTCACTAAAACAATAAAATGCAACAAAATGAAATAAAATAAAATAAAATACACTAAGTACTTTGGGGCTTGCCTGTCTCTGGACTCTCAATTTGTAACCACCTGACAAGTTCTCCTTGCCCACTGTCTAGACAGAGCCAATTTATCAAGATGGGGAATTGCAATAGAGAAAGAGTTAAATTCACACAGAGCCAGCTGTACAAGAGACCGGAGATTTATGATTACTCAAATCAGTTTCCTCAAAGACTTGGAGGTTGTGGGTTTTTCAAAGATAGTTTGGTGGACAAGGGGGTAGGGTAGGAGACATGCTGATTGGTTGGGTTGGAGCTGAAATCATAGGGAATTGAATCTGTCCTATATTGAGTCAGTTCCTGCATGAGGGCCACAGGACTGGTTGGCAGGTCCAGGTTGGCCCATCCAGTTGCCAGAAATGCAAAAACCTAAAAAGACATCTCAAAAGGCCAGTCTTAGGTTCTACAATAGTTATGTTATCTTCAAGAGTAATTGAGGCTGGGTGCTGTGGCTTACACCTGTAATCCCAGCACTCTGGGAGGCCAAGGCAGGTGGATCACTTGACACCAGGAGTTCGAGACCAGCCTGGCCAACGTGGTGAAACCCTGTCTCTACTAAAAATACAAAAATTAGCTGGGTATGGTGGCACACACCTGTAGTCCCGGCTACTCAGGAGCTTGAGGCATGAGAATCACTTGAACGAGGGGAGGCTGAAGTTGCAGTGAGGCAAAATTGCTTCACTGCCCTCCAGCTTAGGCAACAGAACAAGACTCGCTCAAAAAAAACAAAGTAATTGGGCAAGTTATGAATCTTATGACCTCCAGAATAATGGCTGGTAATTATGTAGAATTCAAGCCCCTCTCAGCCTAACTTAGTGGCTTTTCATTAGTTTTACAACAATTTAGTTTGGGGGAAGGGCTCTTACCATTTAAGCTATAAACCAAATTTCTCACAAATTCAGTGGTCCTCAGGCCACCCATACTTCTGACCAACTGAATACAAATTCAGGGGTTCCCACAACCTTCTCAGGTTTGATAATGTACTATCATTACTCATAAAACTCAGGAGTGCACTATATTTGTAATTACAGTTTTATTGTAAGTATACAAGTTAGGACCAGTCACATGAAAAGACCATAGAGGAAGATCTGGAAGGGTCCAGAATGCAGAACTTTTGTGCCCTCTCCCTGTGGAATTAGGATGTGCTACCTTTCAGCACATGGATATGTTCACCGCCTAGGAAGCTCCACTAAGCTTCAGTGTCCAGAGATTTGGTGGGGTTTCCTTACATAGCATGATTGATGGACCCACTGGTGATATGATTAAACTAAATCTCTAGCCCCCCAAATCTCCCCAGAAGAGGTCGAACAGATATCACCCCACTCACAGCTCAAACCCTCTAGTCTCATGCTTGGTGTTTCTGACATGACCAGCTCCCAACCTGAGTCATCTTACTAGCATTAATTTAGGTATGGTCCAAAGAGCTCATGAATAACAAGGGCATTTCTATTGCTCAGGAAACCCAAGGATTTAGAATCTTTCTTTTAGCAGTCAGGTGCAATGGTCAGTCAAATTCTTTATTCTAACAAATGGGCAAAAAAAAGATTAATCACTTTCCCAAGGTCACATAGTAAATGATTGAGATGGCTTCACACTCAAAAAATGTGATCCAGAGCTCACTATTTTTTTTTTAAGATGGAGTCTAGCTTTGTCACCCAGGCCTGAGTGCAGTGGCATGACCTTGGCTCACTGGAACTTCCAAGGCTGTTCAAGCAATTCTCCTGCCTCCGTCTCCCAAGTATCTGGGGTTACAGGTGTCCACCACCATGCTTGCTTAATTTTTGCATTTTATTAGAGACGGGGTTTCACCATGTTGGCCAAATGGACTCAAACTCCTGACCCCAGGTGATCCACTCACCTTGGCCTCCCAAAGTGCTGGGATTACAGGTGTGAGCCACAGTGCAGCCACACTTTTTTATTTGTTAAAAAAAAAAAAAGCCTGGAATGCTACATGAATCTATGTGTCATCCTTGCCACACGTGCTAATCTTCTAGCATTCCAATTTTAGTATACGTGCTACTGAAGCGAGCACACATTATGCACTTTATTAGGACACACATACCAAGTGGTAGGTGCCCAAGCTTAATTTGTATGGCCACTAGTTAAAGACAACCCGAGAAACATGCAGCCACCAGGAAAGTGCTGTGATGACGCTAAAATCAGGCGATCAATGTCCCCCTAAGCCAGGAAAACATGAAACAAATGTGGGAGGCCCACTGGAATCCTCAAGTGAAATAATGACAATTTCTTTTCTTTTTCTTTTTCTTTTTAGAAAGGAAAGAAGAAAAGAAAGAAATAAAAGGAGTGAAGGAGAGGAAGAAAGAGGGAAAAAAGAGGGAGAGAGAGCGGGAAGATTGCTTTATTCTAAAAATGGGTATTAATAATGGCCAATCAATATATTGTGCATTTAAAGTGGAGAATGTATATTTTGTGTATTTAAAATGGAGAGCTCTATAAATATTTATTAAGTTTACTTGTTCTGGATCTGAGTTCAAGTCCTGGTTGTCCTCATCAATTTTCTGTCTCGTTGAGTCTAAATCTCTTTACGGGACTTGTGTATCTGGGTGTCAGGATCGTTAGCTCTTATTGCTGCATTGATCCTTTTACCACTGTATCTTTGTTGCTTTGAAATCTATTTTATCAGATGCGAGAATTGCAACTCCTGCTTTTTATTTATTTATTTATTTATTTTGCTCTCCATTTGGTTGGCAAGTCTTTCTCCATCCCTTTGTTTTGAGTCTTTGTGTATCTTTGGATGTAAAATGGGTCTGGATGTAGCATACCGTTGAGTTTTGGCTATATCTTTTGATTGGGGGATTTAGTCGATTTAAGTTTAGGATTACTGCCATTTGATGTTAACTGGTTATTTTATCCATTCATTGATATAAATTCTTCTTTATGTTGATGCTTTTTACTTTTTGGTATATTTTTAGAAAGGCCAATACCGGTTGTTCCTTTCTATGTATAATGCTTCTTTCAGAAGCTCTTGCAAAGCAGGCTTGGTGATAATAAAATCTCTGAGTACTTGCTTGTTCATAAAAGATTTTATTTTTCCTTCAATTGTGAAGCTTAGTTTGGCAGGATATGAGATTCTGGGCTGAAAGTTCTGTTCTTTAAGGATGTTGAATATTGGCCCCCACTCTCTTCTGGCTTGTAGGGTTTCTGCTGAGAGATCTGCTGTAAGTCTGATAGGCTTCCCTTTGTGGGTAACCTGACCTTTCTCTCTAGCTGTCCTTAGTATTTTCTCCTTCGTTTCAACCCTGGTGAATCTGACGATTATGTGCCTTGGGGTTGCTCTTCTTGAGGAATATCTTTGTGGTGTTCTCTGTATTACCAGGGGTTGAATATTGTCCTGCTTTGCTAGATTGGGA